CGCAACAATTTCTAGACACCGATCAGTATGAACGTAGCGTATCTTCCCTTTATAATATCATTGCATTATAACTACATTATATTAATGACACGAGGAAAACTAAAAACGAATAACGAACCAAAAAAATTGGGGAGTTTTATTGTTATGGCAGACCTAAAAATTACCTATCAAAAATGCAACGCGTACTCTAACTTTAGAAAATGGTACTGTAGGATCGCTTCTTCTGCATAATCAGGTTTGACTTTCAATATAATATCCCTGCCAGCACTTTCAATCACTTTCGGCGCAAGGATGACGGTTGTTTACTTTTTTGACACTTGCTATAAACACTAAGATGGCGGCACACGATTAGTTCCGATTTCAGCCGCGCGCAGAGCTATCTTGAGTGCCTTCTATACAATGAATCTCTGTCTAAGGTTTTTCACGTAGATAGAGGATTGTACTAAGTCTATGGTTTTTCTAGTAGTCACGTGAATGTTCTCTCTCGTAATTAGTGCTGTATTTTCCTTGGTTTTTTTTAACGAATTCTGCTCTGTTTTTGGACTTTTTAGATTACCCTTACGTTTGACCTTGGCATTGGTTATGGATTTGATTTGATTGCGTTATTACAGACTTTGGCTTGTTTATTGTACCTGAGAATGAGCGATTATTATAGATGATAAAAATTTTTTGGAACAATTACTCTGCCCTTTGCCTACTGTCTTGACTCTGCGAAGTGATAAGGTTAAAGATGCCTACTAAAGTTATTGTTTTATTACCGTTCGTAAAGTATGTTGATTGATATGATTTGAATTTCGATAGATTTTCATTAATTTATTTATTTAACTCAAAACTTTTGTTTTTATTTTTTGTAAAATATCAGTGCCACAGGCTTCTACTTCGTTCACATGTTACAGCCTATTTTTCTTCCAGACGGTAAAAGAGATCATCCAGTATTTATTCACAATTAATTATGAAAATGCAAATGCATTGTCACCCCTGAGGACTAAGATCTAATGCCACGTTTTTTGTATAATGGGTCTCTAGCTTACTACACTCACCATATGTAACAAAGCAACATTAATCTGCTATTTTATGCTGATATTCTGTGAGAGCGTGGTCCTACCCCAGTCGAGCCGGCCGATTTGTACTACAACCATAATATAGCTGCAGCGTGGCGCTACCACGTAATCTACAGAGTTCCATTAGTAAATTTGAAGTCAATCGCCCCGTAATATAAAAAGTTTCCTACAAACTATAACACCTTATTTCATTTCCTTAGAGATTGAATTTCTTAGTGGATGCTTACGTTATAAAAGACAGCTAATGTCCAATTTTCAGATTTCTACCTATAACGGTTTGGGCTGTGCCTGTGCTTTGATAGATGAGTCAATTACTCAGGATATCCTCTTATAGTGGGCGATAAGGAGCTGATGAATAAGTATAGGCCGCGCAGATAGAGAATAGATCTGAAAATGGCGGCGGGTACACATGGTACGATTGGCAAAACAAGTTCTAAAACATCGATTTTTATTTTTTTATTGACGTTTTTTGATATAAATTATTCTTTTTTAATATTATTAATTAACAATAGTAGAAATAATGTCAAAAAATATTAATAAAATAAATAAGGAGCAAGGGTATATATGACACCGGATTTTAAAATTTGTCTTTATTAATTGTTACATATCAGAATCATATTACAAAAATACCACCTCACATACATACATAAAGTCACGTCCTTATCCCTTAGGCCAGTAAAGTAAAGGCGGAACTACATTAGACCGACGCACACGTCTGAGACGTCGCCGACGTGTGTGATAGGTGTGATTTTTTTGTAGCGTGTATTTCACTGTGTGAGTATAGACAGCGATAAATAGTAAGCGAGAACGCATGCGAGCGGACGCTTTTTTCAGATCTATTCTCTATCTGCGCGGCTTATTTTTTTATAGTTTAGCAACTTTAAAGTATTTAGTTTATTTTAAATTGGGCCCCAATTACATTTTGCCCCGGGGTCATAAGTTGCATAGCTACGCCACTGGTTCTCACCCATCATCCATCGAGGATAGACGTAGATGTCTAATGGCTTCAGCAACCACTTATCAACAGGTGGACTGCGTGATTGTTTGTCACCCCTTTTCTAATTAAAAAAAAAACTATAAAAAATACTGCAACGTCGGTAATATAAAATAAGTTAATTATCCGTAAAAGCTAATGTTATTTAAATGGAAAATTGTACTTTTCGGTTTTCTATACAATTTGCCGAAGGGTATGTATGTGGTCTGTGGTACTAAAGCCTTTTCGGAAACCGACTTGTTCGGGAGGCTAGAAGTCATCGAGTCTGAATGCGAGATGATTCATAATGACTCGAAAACAGCACGTAGACGCAGGTCAGAAGGGAAATCGGTCTGTAGTTCTTCAAGAGAGCTTTGTCATCTTTTTTGAAGAACGCCGTACCTCTGCTCCACGCTTCCGGAGTAATGCAACCATCGAGAACAGAATTAAAGAGCTTCTGAAGGTCTTCAAGTAGTAGTTTTCCACCCGCTTTCAGAAGTTCCGCTGTAGTTCCATCCTCAGGACAGGGCAAATTAATTAATTGTGCAAACCTCAAAGTAATATGTATGTTCGAATGTGCCAACCAAAAGAAGTAAAACACAGAATTAACATTTTGAGTTTCTGTCGATATTATTACATCTTTTTAATATGGCAATCTAAAACAAAGTAAAAAAAAAGCAATATCTTTTTCTCGGTTTTTCTCTCTCGATTTTTATTCTATTATTATATTAGACAAAATTATGATTGCTCATAATCACAGTTAAAGCCCTTACGGATAAAGAATGGGATTATATATGGTAGCTCATCAAGCCCGTACCGTGAACATGCACAATACAAATAACGAAAACCCGCTAATAACGATATATCGTTATTAGCGGGTTAATTAAAACGTTAGTTATTTTATTCGACTAGTTGGAAATTTTCTATTAATGTAAAAATATTTGAATAGCAATCATATACACAAGTAGACACATTAATTTTAAAATAACATTTATAACCAGTGACACACACTGGCTTCGCTTGGATAAAATTGAATTATTTATAAGTATAGATTAGTAAATTATTCAAGAAGACTAAAATAAAACAATGTATTTCTTAAATTATGTTTATATTAATTTAAATACCATTAAAGAAAATATGTATTTCAAATAGGATAGACAGACAATAAACTCTTTTTTATAGGATAGAGTGACAAACGAGCACACAGTTCACCTGATGGTACGTGGTTGCTGTAGCCCATAAACATCCACATCTGTGCTCAACTACAAATAAAAATGCAGATGCGTTGTCACCCGTAAGGACTTAGATGGAAATGATGGAATAAATGGCTCGTTTCGAAAAAATATATAAAAATAAAAATTTCGAAAGAAATTATAGGCTCAGAAGGACTAGAACCCATAGCCGTAAATCCAGTTGAGTAAATAAAATAATAATGACTTGGGACCGCTTGGGACCATGGAGGACAACATTCATGCTTGGGACCTTGGGACCTACATATTTATTTATCTATGCTTGGGACTATAGAGCTACACTCTATACTTGGGACTAACGTAGTACTATTATTTATTCTGTGCGTATATATGTTCTGTTTCTGTGTTCTGTGTACGTTACGTAGACAGAGAAACCTATATACTAATGATTAGCGTGGCCTCGAGTGAGAAAGAACGATAACGTAGTTTTAGGTTATACAATAATCTTTATGACTTTTAAACATATTTCGATAAAATTTTTAATTGTTCTAAGAAATGAACTAAACAAGATTCACAAATCTTTAGCTCACAAGACACTTTTTTTCTCACTTAAACCAATTTGTAACCTCCTTAGATCGCCACGAACTGTCAAAGTTGTTTAGCAAACTACTCTTAACAAAAAAACCGGCACGGAGAAAGGGACAAACAATCACACCGCTCTCTCTAATTTCTATGCAAGAGGTATGCATAAATCTATCTTTTTCGTGTTCGAAGGCGTCAATTTGCCTAGACAGAGAAACCTATAGACAAATTGACGTCTTCTTTCGCATTCGCACACGAATAAAGTAAGAGTATAATCATAGTACTCTTATTAGTTTGTGGTTCTGTGTTTCTGTTTATATTACTCTACTGTATGGTTCTGTGCTATGCAGACACTGACCTCTATATATACAGCGTACTTGTATATATAGAGATTAGTGTATGCAGACCGTAGACAGAGAAACCTCCTTCTACGATGCAGACTAATGTAACGTTAGTTTCTCTGTCTAGTCTGTTACTAATGTTAGCATGGAGGCAGCGTTGTCAGATACACTGTAATTACAGCAGATTTACTGTCTTCTTTTCACACGATCTACTGTCTACTGTAATACTAAAATTACAGTGTATGGAGAGCACTGTAATTTTCTACAGGCAAAAATCAAAATAGTTTAATGCAAACTGAACGCAGCCTTTGTGAAAAGAAAAAATAACATGAACATAACAAAACGCAACTGGCTACTAGAGCCCGCCACCTCTCTGCATATGTCACAACCCTTGTCTCTATTGTAATAAGAACGAATATCTCATACTCTAAACGGGCATGATTAGCGGCTGCGGTAGATACTACGCGGGAATTTCCCGTCATAGACTAAAAACCACTTCTTAGTATTAACCACCCAAATTGTGTCAACCGTGTTTTTATTTTGTTTTCAAGCCTATTGGGACTAACTTAAATTATAATGATTGTAAATTGGTTTCGTATGCAATGCATTACGTTTTTATTTGACTCTTTCAAGTGTTTCTGTGAAACTGGTGCAAGTGGTTATTTTGTTTAAGGACTTGAGAATTTAAAATGCCTAATTCATCTGATGATAGTGATCAAAGCGGACCATCAACGCCAAAAAAAGCAAAAAGATACATTATAAACAAAAATTCAGAGACGAGTGATTAAAAGACAATAGTTTCAAAACTTGGCTGAAACGTGACCCAAAACACCCGTATCGTGCAGTTTGTGTTATGTGTGAATCAAAATTGATAGCTGACAGAGTAGTGATAAAAAGACATGGTGAAGGTGCTAAGCATGTAAAAAGAACTTCAGCAGCGCCAGCTCAATCTTCGATTACTACTACATTTGAAAAGGTTAAGCATTCCGATGATGATAAATGCAAAGCATCGAGATAAAGTTGGCCGCTTTTATGGCAGAGCATAAAATATCCATGAGGGTGATGGACCACTTAGTTGATTTATTGCCCACTATGTTTCCTGTTTCTCAGATTGCAAAAAATATGAAAATGAAGAGAGCAAAATGTCAAGCAATAATAAACAATATTCTAGGAGAATCGGAAAAACAAGATTTGTGTGCAGATCTAAAGGAGCAAAAATTCTCTGTCATGATTTATGAAAGCACTGATACCGGAGCAGTAAAAACTATGTGTGTTGTGGTCAGATATTACTGTGCACTAAAAAGTCAAATTGTTAGCAGATTTTAGGACCTAATTCAAATACATGGCGAGGAAAACTCTGCTCCGGTATCAGCACAACATCTTTTCAAAGCAGTAATAAAATCCTTTGAGGAAAATTCTATTCCTATTGAAAATATTATAGGATTTGGATCTGACGGGTGTAATACTATGATGGGGTGTCACAACTCTGTTTCGAGTTGATTTAGAGCAAAATATCCCGGAATTATCGTTCTTAAATGTGTTTGTCATTCCCTGCATCTTTGTGCGAGTGACGCATGCAAACAGTTACCAGCTGAATGTGAAAAGCTAACACGTAATATTTACAATTATTTTGCGACCAGTAGCAAAAGACCATCGCTATTAAAAGAGTTTCAATTATTCACAGAAACAGATATACACAAAATTTTGAAACCGGCTCAAATGAGATGGTTATCACTAAGTGCCGTAGTGCAAAGAATTTTAGAACAGTGGAATGCACTAACGCTGTTTTTTGATGGAAGATGGCTTGAAGACAACGAATGTTCCGAAATCCATATGCAGTTGAATGATCCCATAACAAAATCATACTTTTTCTTTTTAAACTGGATGTTACATAAATTTACCGAAACTAATACGCTATTTCAGAGTGAGACTCCAATGATCACAAAACTTAACACTAAAATGAACGATCTCTTTCACGAACTTTTATCGACATATATGACAACGGCACATATTGCAAACACTGAATTGGAAACAATCGAAAACATTTTCAAAAATTTGGATGACATCTAACTGGGCTTGGGAGTATCTAAACAGTTTTCAACAAATGAAATAGTAGCAGAGAAAAAAAGGGTTTCAAAAAGAAATGCCAAAATTTTTTGATTAAAGCGTGCGTAGGCATCCGCAAAAGATTCGCGCTAAATGATCCAGTATTTGTTGGGATATCCAAATTGGATCCTGAAACATGTCTCGATATCTCAGATCGCGATGAATCAATTCAATATATACTAAGCTTAATGCCAAGATTGACACCAATTTCTATGATAGAACAACAAGCTTGATTGGATTGGATTGGATGACCAATGGAGAAAATTGCCAAAGTTAAAAGGAAATTTCGATGCTGCAATACGGCCTGATGAGTTCTGGCACAAGGTTAGTAACTAAGACTCTATATTTTTTTTAGAAATATATTTCTTTCGTTTGCAAAATACAATATTTTTAATTTCTATAAATACTAATGTTGCTTTTCAGGTGAAACAGTTTCACGAGTTCCGCTTGATTGGAAAATACATGCTCAAAATCTTGGCTCTTCCTAACGCCAATGCGGAATGCGAGAGAATTTTCAGTCAAATTAACGACACCAAAACCAAGAAACGAAATAGATTAATAACCAGGACAATAAGAGGCAACATGTGAGCGCAACAAACCATTCGGCGTCACAGCACCAGTTTCTTTAACTTTAAACCAACTGAGAAAATGTTAAAAACATTTAAAAACACAAAAAAGAAGCGGATATCGGGCTACATGATAATGACAGTGATTAATTAATGTATAATTATATATAGGTATTATGCTTATTCTAAATTACAAAAGGTGAAATTAAAACAGCATTTTAGTTTATAAAAGATAATAAAAGTTTCTTGAAATCTACTGTAAAATTCACTGTATTTTTTTTTACTTTTACTGTAATTTTGTCGTAAACACTGTTAATTTGAGCATGAAACACTGTACTGTAATATAATTTGTCTCATCTGGTAACACTGCACGGCGGTTAGAGAACAACCTTCATGAATGTTAGCTTGCTACATATCTATTTATCTATGATTAAATGTTTTGATTTGTGAATCTGTATTTATATATAGATCGATACCGGATACTATAATTTTGTACAAAAAGTACATTAAAATTGATTAAATATGGATAACAAAGAAGACGACGAATCGTTCCGAGAAGATGAAGTTTACATAAACCCTGAAGATGGCATGCCCAATGTTCATCCGAATATAGTAAATTTAGAACAAGAAAGTAATTCTCAAGACGAAACAAACGAATTCGATGACTTACCGAAATCGGTGATCGTTACAAATATTCCTAACGATGTTTTCGGTGATGAAAAGTTAAAAAAAGAATTGGAAGATTTATTCCGTACATTTTCAGAAAACATAACATTTCAGTGGCTTCGCAGTTTTAAAAGATTGCGAGTTAATTATGACAGTCCTCTTGCAGCAGCAAACGCTCGAGTGCAACTACATCAGTTTAAATTTCATAATTCATATATTAATTGTTATTTTGCACAACCAGTGACACCAATTTCTTTAAAAAATTTAAGACCTCCAGCTCCTGTGAAGCAGTTCCTAATTTCACCTCCATCTAGTCCCCCTGTAGGATGGGAACCTCGTGAAGAAGGTGAACCAATAATTAACCCTGACTTATTGGCAGCTATAGCAAGCTTGACTCCTGGGGAAAGTCATGAACTGCATGCACCGACCCCCACTCAACCGGCTATAGTAGTCCATACAGCATTGACCACTGAACCTAATTCTCAAAAGTGTTTAGTTCAGACTATACCACATACTCGTTGTCCAGATTATTGATGTATTGTGAGTATAATAATAAGATTTTAATTAATTAATGTAAACGCTTTTAAAATCAGTTATTTTAGTTTAAAAAACAGCTATGTCAAGTTGTAAACATTTTTCTATAGAAATGGCTATAAGATTACAAAATAGTCTTATTGTTAAAAGTAGGGGTTATTATAAGTTGGTATTAATAATTTTTACCTTGTAAAAATTCTAAACACCTACATGGTCTATTAATTATGGGATTGATACTTCTCCTACTTGTTTTACTTTTAGCATTATTTTTACTGGATTCACCTGACCCACGATTAATATAGATGAAGTATTATGACTTGAGAATTATTCAAAATTAAATTGGTGCTATTTTTTATCATCAAAGTTGTTAATGATATTGATTTTATTAAAATTGTTTATTCATATTGTCTATAAGGAATGAAGTAATATACATAATTTATATTTAAATTTTAATATTAGTAGAACACATCAATCACAGAAAATTATTGTGTCTTCTGGGATTGAGGTTTGTTGTTAAAGCTGCTCAATAGGATCATACCTTTTACTTACATTCACTATAATTTTTCATAAAGTTTTTGGCTTTTCAAAATTAAGTATTGTAATTGAAAGTTCTGGGATAGATTTAAAAAAGTTGCAAAAATGTGTGCTTAAATGTTTAGGGAGTTTGCTATTGATTTATTTACATTAGAATATCCCAGCCGTATTATTTTTTTAGGGGGGAGCCCTTTCAGCTAGTTCTCTTTTATATTTTGCAAAAAGGTTTTAGTCAAAATAATAATGTTTTGATTCATATTAACTTGTGACAAAACAAACTTTAATAAACAATATTTGTGTTATTGTGTTTATATATCTTTATTGTGTTATTATTTTGTTTAAATTATTTAAATCCGCTTTGTGTATATTTTAATAACATATGTTAGCATAATGTACTATGTGATATAACATTAAAAGGTAAAACATATTCACATTAAAGTGTAGATAGTAAATTATTTTCACAATAAAACAAACAAAGGCATTCAATTATTTTCCAAAGATCTGTTGCTACTAGGTGTACAATAAGGTTTTTGGTTATTTACCTCTTCTAGTGAATTCAATAGATTTATTGAAACATATATGTTGTTTTCAATTGAACCTCATTAATTTATTATTTTGATTAATTAATTTATACCTAGCTTAAATGTACTTATTTATTGAAAAGTAAATTGATACGATTGTCACCTATATTTATCTTTTTTTTAAACCTATATATTACAACCTATAAAAGTCCACTGCTGAACTTAGACCCCCATAGATTGCCTCATATGGTGAATTTTACCATAGTTGTTACACTTACCAGGCGGGTTGGCGACTGGAGATTTTTAATATTTATAGTTGTTATTAGGAAGATGCTCACCTGTTTCAATTTCTCTTTATCACATTTTATGACACCCATGGGATGATATTTACATCACTTCATTAAGGGTCACCGCCATAGCTATTCACCATTGATTATGTATATTATTAGAACTAATCTTCGGAATACCAAAATCGGTTCTGGTTTTGACTGGACTTACTTTTTATTAGGCATATCTATGTTCCTATACATTTTCTGAGATGCCGATATATTTGCACTGGTTTATGCTGTGATGCACTCATTACTGCAGCCGCATTACTTTCATTGACATTTTATCCACAGAAGTCTCAAAAATACACTAGGACTTCAACACGGGCGAGTTCGTATAAGCAAGAAGCCCTGGAAACTGCTATTCAAATAATAAAAAACTCATTAGATTAGGAAAATTTAAGTGTGTAAGTGTATGTATGTGAGGGACCTGTATGTGTGTGTGAATGTGCGTGTGCGTGTATGTTTGCGCGTGCGTGCGTGGGTGGGTGTGTGCCCGTGTGCTTGTGGGTAATGACCTGTATTCACTTTGATTAATTCAGGTGATTAGTGTAGGTGTGTAGTGATTAGAAGTAAACATGTGTGGACAGTGATTGATTAGTGGAAATGATTAATAAACTGCGTAGTAAAGTGAATAAAAGCATTCTATTCCTTTCGAGTGGACTGTGTGTACCCACGTCCCATGCGTCCTCCCTTTCCCGTCGGCGTCCTATCGGCGGCTTTTTTCGGCGTCGTCTGGACAGCAGTGTTTAGCGTCTGACACTCACTTGTGTTGCAAAAATGGCAAAGTGGACCAAAGAAGTAACCTATTTTGTGCAGGAGTATCTAAAAAATGAATGTTTTTGCAATAGTGAATACCCTAACTGCAAAATTAAACGAGCTCGAGATGTGGTATTTCTATATATAAGTGAAGTTATGAACATATGGGGTTTGGAAGTAAAGAAGTTTATATTAAAATAAGAAATTTGAGATCTACATATTTGCAAGAGGTTAAGAAAGTTAAATAGAATAATTGCTGGTCAACGGCTAACAACTGAATTTACTAAACAGAACTGGACATTACGCTACACACCTGCACTCTCACTAATCAAAGTGAATACAGGCCTTTAGTGTAAGTGTAAACTTTCTGCCAACTCTGCGACATGGTCTTGGAATCGGCTGGGAACAGCCCAGCCACTGTGTAGATGGTAGTTTATGTGTGAAAGCGTGTTTATGTGTCTCTTAGATAAATATGGGTTGACAATGGGTGCACGAGTGAGTGTATGCGGTGGACAGAACGGGTGTTTTGAATAATATATGCGGATGTGTCTTGGATTAATATGGGTTGATAATGGGTGCATGAGTGAGTGTATGCGGTGGACAGAACATGGGTGTTTCCTATAATATGTGCGGATGTGTCTTAGGTAAATATGGGTTTATAATGGGTGCATGAGTGAGTGTATGTGGTGGACAGAACATGGGTGTTTTCTATATGTGTGGATGTGTCTTAGATCAATATGGGTAGATAATGGGTGCACGAGTGAGTGTATGCGGTGGACAGAACATGGGTGTTTCCTATAATATGTGTGAATGTGTCTTAGATAAATATGGGTTGATAGTGGGTGCATGAGTAAGTGTATGCTGTGGAAAGAGCGTGGGTGTTACTTTTAATATGTGCAGATGTAAATCTATGTTTGAAACCTAATCATGTCCTCTACTTCCTCCCTCATAAGTGAGTGGCTTAAGCCAATATAAGACTAGATCTTTGCATTCATAAGCCGATTTGATGTAAATATTAAGTGTTTTATTGAACTGATTGTATAGTTGGCATGACAGGTTTGTGAATTGATGTCTAGAAAAAAAATGTTTTACATATTTGCGTTTTAGCTACCAAGTCAAGGAAATCAAAGCTTCTTTTGGTGACTATAGAAGTGTCAAGTGGGAGAGATCCGTGTTTTTTAACAACGGTATGCAGGATATATAATTTACGAAGTGATAACTAATCCGCTAGGGCATAATGGTGTCGAACCTACCAATTTGAGGAAAAGTGCGCGCTGCGCACGTTCAGCGTCTATAATTTTAATTTTGATCGCAGTAATTCAGTATCATAATAGACTGCGCCAAGGCAGCATAGATGTGTTTTAAAAGATCCTTATTCGCAGAATGTCGCCATATTTTTAAAAAGCCAGATTAATTTTCTGGTGAGAATTGTAATTAGACCAATGTGCGATGAGAGTCTGTCGTCAATCAGATATTTTGTGGAGTTCAAGTTGCCAAAGCAATAATAGGTCATTTGTAGCTTGAATCATTTGGAAGACGGCAATAATGTATCGTGAAACTGTAATCTAAGTTTGGTTGCGTTCTATTGCTTATGGAGAAACTCATAAAGTTAGTATTTATTGTATATAGCGAAAGTAGGTTTAATCTTAGCCATAGAACATCAAAAAAGTGCTGTTCCGCAT